TGTATAAATCAATTTTGTAAAACTGTTTTTATACAACTTGTATTGATTTTTCATTTATATAAAGAATGATTTTGATTTATAAAGAAATTTATTTTATTTTTTCTCTGAGAATATTTATGAAGAATTTTGTTTAAATTTCTTTTGTTGTTGGAGTAAAGATCCAAAAAGAAATATGATAAAGCAGAGGAATTATAAATAAAGAGCAAAAACGGGATTATTAGAAAAAGTTAGAAAGCATAGTATCTTAACCAGAAGTTCCAATTTTTATTTTTTTATTTGTAAGTCTATTGGATATTTCTTTATGTTAGACTGTTCTAGAACCTTTGAAGCTGTTTAAAATAAACCAGAAATAATTAGTCGATGGTTAAGTTAATTTATGAACTTTGTTATTTTATTACTGCTAGTTGTAACTCCCCTCATAATTCAAATAAGTAATTTGTCTCCGTACTCTTCCAATACCTATCCATATTCTGATTTTGAATTACTTAAACATCTTTATTTAAATAATACAAAAACTTATACCAATTTTTCTTTGATCTAGTTTCTTAGTTTTATAAATATTTTTAATACGCACATTTAATATTTTTTACTTTTTCTTTATAATTATTTGATATTTATTTAATTATTTTTATTTGATAATAGTAAAGCATGTATATCATTTGTTGTTTGTACAATGCATGTAATTTGGTTTCCTATGAGGCATCTGAGAATAGCGGACAGAAGATGCAGAAGTAATTTAATAAGGTTGCTTCAGTTCAAAAAACCACACATATTAAAAGAACCTTAGGAATAATAAACGAATACGAATTTTCATTAGCTATACAACAAATTTGGAGTTGAGAGTAGGAAAAAGAAAATGACTAATGTCAGTTGCAGACCCATCACGCTTACCAATAACATTTACAAGAATATAAACTCGGACCACCATATTTTTAAGTCGTGGTAAGAAAATACTTCTTCAAAGAAGAATATCAAAATGGGGGTTTCTGGAGAGCGCAACTACATTGGAATGACATCAATCTTTGATGTGTCTTCACATCACTAGCATCCGGTCGTCAACTTACCGAGGGTCACCCCAACTTAAGAGCTGATATGGTCACCATTAGTACCACTATGTATGACATGAATTATGAATTATGTACAGGGCTACAATTAGTATATTACCAATACGCAGACATGTCACACAAAGTTCTGGTTGTGTGAAAAAGAAAAGAAAGGCCAAGAGTGAAAAAGAAAAGAAAAATGAGCTGAGAAATCTAGTTGTGTGAAAAAGAAAATAGTAGGTCTGAAAAAAGAGAAAATAAAATGCAAAAGACTTGAAAGAAAAGACCTGAACAGAGTTGAAAACCAGAGAGAAAAAGAAAAAATTGAATTGGCCAAAGTTAAACATAGAATGCACTGAGTTATAGGTTCTCCCTTCTTCTTCATAATTTCTCTATCTCCATTTTGTGTTTTCTAACCTTTCATGCCTTTTACATTACAAGCCATAAAGACCTTTTTGATCTAGATGAAACCATGAGCTAAAGCACTTTCACTTATAATCTTTTCAAAGTTAATAATGGAAGTTAGCATGACATGAGTGAATGAAACAATACAGCCTTAAACACTTGAGTGAATATGAGTGTAAACACTTGTTCCTGTGAGGCTGAAACTGATTTCTGCTTTTCTAAATATATTCATTGCTGAATTTGGCTGAATTGAGTTGTTTTTCAAATGCTTGGATTGCTGAAACTGATGTTTAAGGTTGAGAATTATGATTATGCAGATTTGATTGAATGAAATGGCTGAGAAATGATTAATTGGCAAGATTGAATGAGCTGTGAATAGGTCCTATTTCTGAGTTTTGTTTTGAGTCTTTCATTTTGTACTTTGAGTCTTTAATTTTTTTTTTGTTTTCATTTTAATTTTCCCTATCTAGGAGGGCAGTTTTTTAAGTGTGGGGTGTGATAACCTTCTAAATATACCTATTTTTTGTGTTTAGAAGATAAATAATAGTTTGGGTGTTGCTCTCTCCACCATCACACCTTTCTTCCTTCACATTCTCTTTACTATTTTGTCCCTCAGTAAAATTTTATTTTTAGGGTTATTATTTTTTAATTTTACCTATTCACAACCTATTTCACTAATAACCTATTCTAGTCTCGTACATGAGTAAAATACTTTTCTTTCATTTTAACATTATACTTCTTTCTCTCTTTCTTTCTTTCGTTGTTGTGAGATACTAGAAGTTGCAAAGGTTGATGGTGGTGGAAAGCAGTCTCCCTCTCGTGGTGCATTCGCTCTCGTGGTGCAGTGCTTGTCGTGCTTCCTCCAGGTGTGTATTCGAATAAACCTTGAAAACAAACCCTAAAATAAAAAACGTAACCTTTAAACGGAAGTCACATCCTTCAACGGATGTCACCTCCGTTTAAAGGTTACGTTTTTTATTTTAGGGTTTGTTTTATTAGGGGACATCTGTTGAAGGATGTCACCTCCGTTGATGTATACTTCCTCACGTTGGTCGACGCTCTGGACGCTCCTCCATACCACGGCGGCGACACTCCTTCACACTACGGCGACAATGGAAGCTTTCAAACAAAAAAAAAACTCAAGAAGAAAATGAATGTAAGCACGAGAGGTGGGGAGGTGAAACGGAAATGGAAAAAGGAGAAGAGAGTTTCATGGGTGGGTATTGGGAAAGTAAAATTAGGGTTTCAAATTATTTAAAATAGGATAAAAGTAAAAATCTTTTTAACTTAAGGATATAATTGTATTTAAAATAATGTGGGGAGGTGGAGCAAGTATAGGGTGGTGGTGGTGGTGGTGGTGGTGGAGGGAGCACCATCCTAATAGTTTTAAATAAATAGAATTTTTTTTATAACAAAATAAAAATGTTTTGCTGTTATTTTCCTAATTTCTTTTCTTTTTGCAGATCAGCCCATAGTCAAAGGGGCCAAAATCTAAGAGTGGGTTGATGATGTTGGGCTTGAATTGGGCTGAAGCAATGAACTGACGGTTTTGAACTAAATAAAATAACTGGGTACGTTGAAATGAATGAACAAAAAAATAGCACCTTTGTTGAGATGGGCTAAAGTGTTTTTTGGAGGATTAATGAAACGCAGTTTCATAATGCGTTGAGGCAAAGCAATAATTTGGCCACTGCTGAATTGGACCGCTGCTGCCACGCTATTGGGCTATTGCTGATTTTTTAATTTTTATTGAAACTATGAAGTTATAATGTTAAATATAATATAATTAAGTCTTCTACACTAAAAAAACTATCGTGTCTTTGTTTGCAGGAACATTATCCACAAATGTTTTAATGTCGGACCCGTTTTAGGCTTTGTTTACCTGAATGAATTTGGGGAAGAATGATTAAATGGATTTGAGAGAATTTGAAGGTAAATTTTTTTTTATTTATTTGAGTAGATTTTGGAGATAAGTGAGAGTAAATTTGAAAGTAAAGTTTGTAAGAATTAGTGTAGGATTTGATTGATGTGACCGATTAAAAAAATTTACTTCCAAATCCATTCTCACTTACCTCCAAAATTCACTCAAATAAACAATAAAAAATTTATCTTCAAATCTTCTGAAATTCATTTAATCATTCCCCCTCAAATTCATTCAAGTGAATGAGCTGTTAAAGATTAAACCCCATACACTACCACAGAACTTGGTGAAAGGTGTGGATGAGGTCGACCACAACACAAGTCTCGGTTGCTTCTACGTTTGTTAAACCTCTGCTTTTTAACATGGAAAAGAAGAGTTTTGGTAGATGAAGGAAGAATTGTGTTGCATGTGTGATTCGTCTGATATGTTAATATATTTCATTACAAAAGTTGACCTCTTCTTTTGTCGCTTTTAAACAATATTTTTCTCCCTTAGAATCATATTTACCATGTCTCACACATCGATCGATCATATCTCACCTTTTTACTGGTATTGCATTTGAAATTAAAGCTTCTCAAGTAAACACAATAAGAAAAAAAAACACTGGGACTTTTTTCCCAAAATAAATAATTTCAATAAAAGTTTAATTAAATAATCTTTCTTTTATCTTAATTTTTATATCGGATATGCTGTAAATGTTGATAAAAACACCAATAAATTAAATTTTCTCAGGTATGTATATTTAATATATTTAAGGATTTATTTATAGTGCTGTTTAATTTTTTTTAAACATAACAACAACTTTTTGAATTTTTCGAGAATTTTAGAATTAATAAAAAATTCTAAAAGATATAAATAAGTAACTTAAGATATTATAAAAGAAATATAAGAGAGAAAAGAGAATGAGAGAACGAGATAGAGAAACACAAGAATGGGAGTATGAAAGTGTGTTTTTTAGAGAAACATAGAGCCTTATTTATATAGATGGAGGATGGGGCTATGATGGGTCAAAAATCCCATAACTTTGTAGAGGAAACTTTTTGAAACAAATCCAACGTTCATACTACCGTAGCTTGGTAATCAGTATCATTGTCTTTATTTTGTTTATTTTTATCTTTTTTTTGATATTTTTATTATTACTCTTTAGATAATTAAGGTTTTTATTTAATAAATAGAGAAATAAAAATAGTTTATTTTTATTTGTGAAAATATTGTTTCGATAAGTGAAAATATTTCAACTTAAAAAGTGTTATTAGTGTTAAAAAAACTGAGAAAACATTTCATTTTAGGACCCTTTTTTTCTTACATCTAACAATTTTGTTGATACACTTTCTATGCATTCGGGCGTATATTTTTCTGGAATTTAATTTTTTACATTATAAGAGGCCAAGTCAAAAATGCATGGGGTGTCAAAAGAAAATTTGTTGATCTTAAGGAATTTGTTTTTTGTTACTAAAAGAACCAAGCAAGATAGAGCCCGGCCCATCTCTAAAACGAGCTTTTACTATTTAGAAACGACGTCGTATGACCCGTTGTTTTCGCCTTCCCAGAAACTCTAATATGTTGTTGCCTATGAATTCAGAATGTGCAAACAATTCCCCAAAGCTTCCACACAGATCTGCATCGGAGATACGGCGACACCTTCTCGGAGTAATAGTTCATTTAATATATTTTTTCATGACATCTTCTTTTGTGTTCATTATACATATCCGATTAGCGTCTTATTTTTCGATGAATCTTTATATGAATCGTTTGAGATCACGGTGATGACTCCATAAAATTCAAGCTCAACAGACCGGAATGCAGAGCATTCTCTCTTTCGAGAGATAGCGTTGCGTGTCGACTACCCCGCTGAACTGAGTGATCTGTTCCATTTTTGTTTTCGATTATTATTACTGATATTCATGATTTTTGTTGAATTTTATATTTGTTTGTTTTCGTTCAGTGATTATAAATATTATCGTGAATTATTTTTACTGTGTGGGAAAGTGTCATCGCGATGAAGATGCCAAAGCTCCCTCTTCTGAGATTTGAATTTGAGGAAATTTGCTGGCAGAATCGAACCATAAAATCTTGGCCATCACTTCCATCTAATTTTTTTTACATACAGCGAAAAAAAGTTAGCATTTCTTTCGTATTATATATATATATATATATATATATATATATCTAACG